TAATTCTGAATTAATTTAAGTGATCAAAGGGAAAAGGAGATAAAATAAAATCCCATTTCTCGCCGGAAAAACAAAGAAAATACATGGTATCGACAAAAAATGATAAGAAAAATGAGATCTTAGATATTTTTTACAGAGAGAAAAAATGCGTGATCCGCCAATAACAAGAGAGAAATAAGCTTGAATCATGAAGTGTTCAGATTATTTAAGTCGAGTGTTTGCAGCTTTTTCTTTTTTTGGTAACCGGTTTCCTAATTCTTTTTTTTTATTGTTAAAAAAACAAATTGCATTGAGTTCAATTTGAAAATTATATTTTTTTGATCTTTACTAAAACGGGCCCATTAAACAAATAACCTTACTCAAGTCACCCTTGAAGGTTTTCTTTTAGAAAAAAAAAATAAATCCAATTCAACACATTTTTAAATATGTTATCCAACCCAATTCATCAATTTGTTTATATAACAATTATTTGTTCAATAGATAATTTTGACCCAAATATTTATATTGGTTGAATATTATAATAAATTCGGCACACAATTTATTATTCTTTATTTATTTTAGTTTCATCCGAAATTATATTATTTTGGCTTTGAGCTTAATATTACTGCGTATAACATTATACATCATTCATTTTGTGTTTAATATTTTAGTACCACACCTTTGTTGTAATGTATGTCACAAATTCGGTTGCATTAGAAAATAAATTACAATTATTTCATCCAATTCTGTTACAATTATTATAATTAAAAATGTAGTTGTATTCTATATTTTTATAATTTTATTGTATTATCTTACTTTAACTTTATCAATTATTCATTATAGGTATGTCATCTGATACTTCTACAGCAACACATTCGTCCCAAATACCGATAGTCAATTATACTCTGTCATCCATCCATCCATCAAAGTCTTGGTATTACTTTTTTATATAATGTATTTTTTATTCCTATATATGTTTATTATTAGAAATTTGTTCATTATTATTTTGTTCATATTTAATTTAGTTATAATAGTTTTTTATGGTTTGTTAGGTTTTGCAATCGCAAGTCCTCAACGTTTGTGCCAAAATAGTTCCATATTCCGTATTACTAATGTTTATTGGAGCGACTTTGTTCCACTTTATGACAATATAACGGAAGACGAAGAAAATGAGACGCTGGGAATGCCCATTTGTTCCTAAAGGCAATCAGAGTGACATAGGGAATGCGATGATCAATTCATTCAAGTTGGGGCGGGATTGTATCTTTCAGAGACTGACTCGGAATATGAGGCTTCAAAATCTTGGTGCGAGTGATGAGTGCGATGAGCTGAATCACTTCTCGGAGTGGCTCTTAGAAGCCTTGGTGCAGGTGATGAGTACGATGAGCTGAAGCATTTCTCAGAGTGGCTTGCGAGCATTGGATACAGAATTCTCGGTGCATTGAACGACGAATGTGCCGATATCGAGATTCCCAATTATATTATTCTGAAATCACAAGGGGATCCTATTGCTACTATTGTTGAGAGTACTTACCCAATGTTCAGGAGTTCAGGCGACGACCTTAGCTATATGAAGGACAAAGCTATACTCGCTCCCACACTTGATGTGGTCGAGTCCGCTAACGAGTATATGGGCTCATTAAACTCATCCGAGGTGAGGACTTAACTGAGTTCGAATACCACATGCAAGTCAAATATTGTATATGATTCTCTTCAAGATTTTCATACGTTAGAATTTCTGAATGTAATTAAGTGCTCGGGACTTCAAAATCATAAATTGCACTCGAAGGGTGGCACTCCAGTGATGCTGCTGAGGAACATTGATTATTCAATAGGGTTGTGCAACGATACGCGTTTGGTTATTATTAAACTCGGTAATCGTGTCCTCGAGTACAAAATTTTAATTGGTGCAAGAGCAGGTGATAAGGTTCTTATTCCAAGGCTCACAATCATTCCTACATATTTGAGGGTACCGTTCAAGTTTCAGCGCAAAGAGTTTTCTATCATGGTCTTTTATGCTATGACATTCAACAAGAGTTAAAGACAGTCTCTCTCACACGTCGACTTAATCTTGAAGAACTCTATTTTCAATCATGGACAGTTATACGTTGTTCTTTCAATCCTGAATGTTGCATACAAATAAATGTTTAATAATATTTAGAATCATTTTCTTAATTCATATTCTTTTTTCATGAGTTAAATTACGATTATGTATTTTTATTTTTTCTTTTTATATTGTTATATTTTTTTAATTATTCTCCTCCGTGGAAACGCACGGGTCGATTATTAGTTGTCATTCTTTTAGTTATACACTACAATAACAAACAATAGCATGACAACTATATACTATAATTAATGATCAATCAACAAATATTTTTACAACATATCATATATTTAAACAAAAAAATAATTATATATTTAATTAAAATAAAAATTAGCGTTAATGTATAATTAATTATATCTATATATATATAATTGCTGACAAAATAATAAATAAAACTTAATAATAAAATCTCTATAGGTTTCCCGCTCATTTTTTCAATTAATATAAAATGTTACATGTTACATTAATAAAGTGAAATTATAATTTGAAATTAATTTATTATATAATAATTAATACTAATACAAACTAATTATAAATTTACTATTAAATAGTATGTAAAAGTTACATACTTATAAAAAATTGTATTGCAATTTTTTCATTAAAATACTTATTCTACAATAAATAATTTTTTTCGTCTTATGAAGCGATTTTTTTTCAACTTTAAGTTCCAAGATATTTTACAAAAAATTACACCCCTAGTCGCCCAAAAACAGCCAAACCCTAACCCCCGTCGATTCAAGCCCGCCGTGTGCCTTCCCCGGCAATTCGCCGGTCCCTCTGCAGGCGGATGGCTCGTCGCTTCACCTTCATCTCCGATCTCTTCTCATCTTTTCCTTTCTCCCCTGCATTGATGGCGGATCTGTGGTCTTAATCGCCGGTGGATGTCTGGGCGGTTTGGATTCCGGGCCTCGTCGTCGAGGGTTGGCCTTTTGGTTCGCTCTGTTTTGGTTCGCTGTTGGCGGGCTGGGTTTTGGAGCTTCTGGAGGTGGGCTCGTCCTGCAAGAGAGATGGGAGTTTGGTGTTTGGTCGGGTTTTGGGGGTGGCTCCGGCTGCTCGGCTCGCCGGAGTTGAGAGGGCTGGGGCTGAGGTGGGTCGTCTCGAGCCCCCTATATTCCCCGT